ACATAGGTCAGTATTCATTCATATTGGGTTTTTTTTTTTTTTTTTACACACTTTTATATACAGTGACAGAAGCCTGTCCACCTCATAGACTTCTAGACAAAACAATTTATAACTAAAGAAACACTAAGAGCTTGTTGGGGTACGGGAGGGTTTTGGATTTTTTCCACCATTAGCCCTTTTGCTGCCAGGTCCTGTCAGGTGGAAGCAGTTGCTCGATTGCTTCCACAGCCCCCGGTAACAAATTTAAGGTTTGAGATCTTGGGGATCTATTTACTCTGTGCTTAGATACACAGAATATAACTGGATACTAACATTTATAGGTAAAGTTGATTCAGGGAATATCCGATTGCCTCTCGGGGGATCAGGAAAAAAAATTTTCCCCAGCTGGAGCAAATTGGATCATGCTTTGCTGGGGTTTTTTTTGTCTTCCTCTGGATCAACTGGGTATAGAATTTTTTTTAATGGTTGAACTGAATGGACTTTTGTCTTTTCTCAGCCAAACTATGTAACCTCGTCTTTTTATATTTTACCAAAAATTAGGGAAATTTATTGTGTTTGATTGCTCTAAAAATCACTTTAGTGATTTTTTTTTACTGAAATTGTGCGTTTCTTAGACCTTTGCAGTAATATCGTATGAGATGAAAAAAAAATTGGAACTACCACTATATTATTCTCTAGAGTGTCTGCTTTCAGAAAATATATGTTTTGGGGGTTTTGTGTAATCTTCAGATCTAAAATTATTTTTTTAAATGTGTGCAAAAAAAAAAATGCACAACACGGCTCCGGCAGGCAGTGGTAGGGCTGAAATGCCCAAAAGCCACCTTGTGCAACCGTGACAATGCAAATATTGAGCACAGCACCCACATAGTGGTGGTGTTACAGCATGTTAGAAAATGTGGATGTCAGCGATTATGAGAAGCAACATGGGGCAACCATCCAACTTCCTAACCCAGGAGCAGTTACACAAAAACCACCTGCAATGGCCAGTATATTTTCAAAGCATTTGTGAACATTGACAACAACACCAGTGTAGACAAGCCCTAAAGAACACCGCTTTCTATGCTATGAATCGCACACAGCCAGTTTCCTGACAGGAGAATGATCACTATGCATGCCGCCAGTGCCCAATGGGAGAACTCTGACCCTCCAGCCTTAAAGGGAAAACAATCTGTACACTGCGCTAGATGCCCTGAAGAACGGTAAGAATCATAATGTTCGCCATGGCAAGCGATCATTGAGCAATGTGGCCACATGAATTGCACCAGCCAATGAGAATCTCTTCTAAGCAGCCTTCTTCCACAACTGCTTCCTGGAAGAATAGACACACTCTAGTCAGTGCAGTCATGTGACCAGTCACCACTGTAAGCGTGCTGATGCTTGCAGGCTCCAAGGCTGCTAGTGCAGTGGATGGCACATGGATCCTCTTCTGTAAAAGCAAACTCACTCTTTTTAAAGGATAATGTCACAAAAAAAATTAAAAGGCGAAACCAACTACAAGTGGCCTTGTAATTCACTCCATCAAGCCAAGCAGCCACGATACCCTGTGCCGCCTCTATATTGGGCACTATACACAATACACAGCCCTGGAGCGAGTAGCCATCATTATCCTTGCAATGGCAAATGTTCACTGGTCAGCGTGACCACATGACTGCGCTGACCAATAAGAAGTGCATCTGAGGCTGCTTCTTCTGCAGGTAATGAGCCCCGAAAGATAGAAGTGCTTCTCAATGGTCAATCCAATACAAGCATTATGAATCAACTAAAACAAAAACAACCTGTGTCACAAGAACTATGAAAAATTTGAAAGTGAATGCTGCTGTGCCTTGATAAGAATCAAAAAGATTAAAAAAAAAAAAAAAAAAAAAAAAAAATCAGTGAAACAATGAAACAGAGCAAAACATGAAATGAATCAAAAATTATACACAGATCATAAATTCTGTGGCTATAAATGTCCAAAACCACCAAAATGAAAAAAATTATAAAATTTGTGTCCAAATGCAAAAGTGATAAAACCAAAAACAAAGAGTCCCCTTTAAACATGCAAATAGTGCTCCAAAAATTTTTTAGGATAATAGTAATACAGAGAAAAGACTCCACGGATCCACACCTTCCTGTGAATACTGATGTATTCCGCATTCTACCAGAGATAAGAATAAATTGCACTTTATGGATACAATATTATCCTCAAATTACCAGGGAAAGTTCCTCTCCATAGCCTCCTCCAGATACAAGAGCTTCCTTACATCCAACTCCAAAAGGGATTTCCCCGCATAACGATGTGTTATATGGGAGAACCAATAGTGCAATATTGCAAAGACTTTTAGTTGAATAAAATATTGCTCAATCTACTCACATTATAACTTAAAATAAGTCGCCAATTGCCAAAATCCTCCAAAACAGACTTCCTAGTGTAAAACGGATTCCAGAAAGTAAACCAAACTGGCAGCACCGGATATGACGTCACACGCTCCACATAGGAAACCGGACGTACGCCTGTCTGATGAATACCTTTTTATTTTACCTGAAAAGGTTAACTTATGGCCAAAAAAGTGTAGATAAGGGGAGTCTGTAGATTAAAAAAAAAAAAACAAAAAACAAAAAACTGTGCAGCTTTGACTAAAGCTGCCCTTTCTATATGTGTAGGCCATTTACTTACCTCATGAAGCCTGACTGGAAAACTTCCAGAATGTTGCCAAGTGAGGCCCAGCTGTTACTGTTCACCTCCACCATCACAGGAGTGAGCTCAGACCTACTGCATCAGGGGGAGAGAAAACACATGTGAGAGGGTTTGAACCAGAGAAAGCTCACTCCTGTGATGGTGAAGGAGAACAGTAATAACTGGGCTTTTTCGGCAAAGTCCCAAGAGTTTTCCAGTCAGGCTTCATGAGGTGTATAAATGTCCTGCATCAGTGGTCTCTAAACTGCAGCCCTTTGCTTACTTTTATCCAGCCCTTGGGGCATTATTCGCCCAACCGACAATGGCAACAGTAAACTGGCACTTTGTTTAGAAAGTTTGAAGACCCCTGCACCATACCTATAATAATAAAGAAACAACAAAAAAAGAAACAAACAAAAAAAAAAAAAAAACAACAAAACACACACAAAAACTGTGCATCTTTAACCCGAGCTCCATTATCCGCATAGGTAGTTTTTGTTTTTTGTAAAGATGAGCTAACCGCACACATTACCGGATTGTACAATCTGCTTTAGATCTACCAACAACTATGCAGTGATTGGATAGTTTAGGCACGTCCTCATACTATATGGTCTTAGGAAATCTAAAGTTGGTTATAAACATGTTCCTGTGCGGTGCGTTTTGGCAGCCCATTCATCTAAATGGGCTGCAAAATGCATTGGACCGTGGAAAAAAAAAAAAAGTGCCTGCACTACACCTGATAACACACTTCACCAAACTGCACAGTGGTGCCATGCGATCTGGTGCCTGCAAACACCCTGCGCCTGCGATCTGCATTTGATGTGCCAATAAATATACATTTGCACCTGCATGCAGATCGCTAGGGCAGCATGCTGTACTGTAGTGTGGAAAACGCACATCTGGGACTGTGTTCTGGGGTAAACTGGCACTTAGGCGAGGTTCACATCTGTGTGTGTGCACATCACACGTATAGCAGGACATTCATTTGAATTGGCTGCTGTACTGTACTTGCGAGAAATGGAAAGAATTCCCCAACCCCATTTTTAACCACCTCACGACTACACCACAGCTGAAAGACTAGCTATGGAAGGGCGTGTATAGACGTCCTCCCAGATCCCTGTGTGCACTCCGACCACTGTCTTTTGGACACAGCTGATCACAGACAGAGGTAAAGGGCCAATCACAGCAGCCCTTTACCATGTGATCAGCTGGGTTCAATCACAGCTGATTCCATGTAAACAAAGACTGGTAATTGGCATTTACTTTTCTCATATGCTGTCACTGTGTGAGGAAACAAAAGCCGATAACAGGGAATCCTCACAGCACACATTTAAGCTGAAAAACAGTGCAGCCTACCAGTGCCCATCAGTGGAGCCTACCAGAGTGGCCTTATGGCACCCTTCACTGCTACTGTGTGAGGAAAGGAAAGACAATAACTGGCAATCCTCACAGCACACATTTATACTGAAAATCAGTGCCTTGATTATCAGTGCAGCATACCAGTGCCCATCACTGGAGCCCATAGGTGCAGTCTAACAGGGCCCATTGGTGAAGAAAAATTACTAATTTGCAAAATTTGATAACAGCAACTGAGAAAACCAACACCCTCTGTCTCATTTGCAGTGGGGAAAGGGAACCTGACCACCATGATCATAAATGAAAAGATGTCAAGCATCCTGCAGGACTCCCATGACAAAATCCTGAAAGTTTAGATCCCCTGGTGGTCCTTTGCCAAGCCCACTTTTCACCTGACCAGTCTTGGCGACCTTTAATTGCTGATACCACCGCCCAAGCATGCAGGAACCCTCCCTTTCCTCCTCCCCTCCCTCAGTCTTACTCCCCCTAGAATCTTTTTTTCCCCTTGAGAGAGTGCATGTGATCAGCACAGGGACAATCAGCACTGTCCAGACATAGGTCAGGGGTTCTGCATCTTCCTAGAGCAGAAAACTCCCCCCTACAAACTTTAACCAGTGCTCTGCTGGACACTGATAGAAGTCACAAGACTGCTCTGTTGATGAGAAAAGGTATTTAGCAGTTTATATTTACTAAAATAATTACACTTCCATGCTCTGTGTACTGTGGGAGACCAGATATGGTGAATGCAGGGTCCGGGGTTTAGTAACACTTTAAAGTAAAACAATGTCGCACACCATTTTGCTCATGCTTACTTAAAGTGGAGCTCCCCCCAAAAGTGGAAGTTCCGCTTTAAGCTTTTGTCCCCCGCTCTCCATTAAAGCAGAGTTCCACCCAAAGGGGGAAGATCCGCTTTAAGTCTTTGTCCCCCGCTCCCCATTAAGGATTGGCACCTTTGGGGAGCGGGTACCTGAATTTGACAGGTACCCACTGCGATCGCCTTTGCGATCGGAAGTGGAAGTTGTCCTCCCCTCTCCCTGTAGTCTTCTGGGACACGTGACAGGTCCCAGAAGACTACAGGACCATTGACAAAGCGCAGAACTTCTCGCACATGCGCAGTGGGCATCAGACTGTGAAGCCCCAAGCTGTCACAGTCAACTGTTCACACTGAAGATGCTGGTGCCAGAGAGAGAAGACGGCTGGTGAAACCAGTGGTGGTGAAGACACTGCTGGCCCGAGGGACAGGTAAGTGGCTGTATTTTAAAAGTCAGCAGCTAGTTTTTGTAGCTGCTGACTTTTTTTTTTTTCAGCTTGAAATCTGCTTGAAGGATTGGCACCTTTGGAGAAGGGGTACCCAAATTTGACAGGTACCCACTCCCACTGCAATTGCCTAGGCGATCAGAAGTGGAAGTTGTCCTCCCCCCTCCCTGTAGTCTTCTCGGACACGTGACAGGTCCCAGAAGACTACGGGGCCATTCACAAAGTTTCTCACACACGCGCGGTGGGCACCCGGCTGTGAAGCCCCAAGCTGTCACAGCCGGGTGCCCACACTGAAGATGCCGTCACCAGGGAGAGAAGACGGCCGGTGACACCAGCCATGGTGAGGACACTGCTGGACCGAGGTAAATGGTTGCATTCTAAAAGTCAGCAGTTACAGTTTTTGTAGCTGATGATTTTTTTTTTTCCAGCTGGACCTCCACTTTAATTCCTGTCGTCTTCCCCTTGTGTGGCTGATCTATTGTACACTTGATCGTTACTGCAACAATAAAAATGATTGTACCAGAAAAACATTCAAAATTTTTACTTTTTTTTTGTTTGCGTAGAAAAAAAAAAACTTTGGTGATTAAATACCAAGATAAAGTTCTATTTGTGTGAAGATAAAAAAAGTAATGTGTGTATACAGTGTTGCATGACCGCGCAACTGTCAGTGTGAGAACCGGAAAACTGGCCTGGACAGAAAGGGGGTGAAAGTGCCGGTACTGAAGTGGTTGAAAACGTGCCCAGAGGTGCTGTGCCACACATGGGTGGTGATGCCATTATTAATAGTGCGTCTGCTGAAGAGCGCCACGTTTTTGTGTGGGATGGGAACACACACACACACAATTAAAGGGCGCGTTCCCGACCTGCACCTATGTGACCCTAGACTCCAGCCAAGCACACACTATACAATCAGATTGTACAATCAGCTGTGCAGTGTAAGGGTGTGATTGGAAGCCAAGTGTTGGAAGGGTGTGGGGATATCACACCGAGCCTGGCCAGCTGTACACTCCATACAAGTGACGAGCTGTGATAGAGGCAGCTCCCGATGACACATTCCTCCCCTAAGCCGGGATGTCACCAGTTGCCGACCTGGAGAAAAGTCGCCAGTCACGTGACGTTCCCCCGCACTCACCTTGGAGAGGACTCCGCAGAGCTCCACGGGCGGCCCGGACTCGGTCTCCAGGTCTTCCTCTGAGCCCGAGGAGTTCCAGCTCTGGTTATCCGACATGAGCGGGAGCCCGAGACTCCGCCGGCCGCCTCCTGACACGACGTGACGCGCTGCCTTCCCCGAGAGTCCGGGCTGCTGCTGCTGGCCACTGCTCGGAGCCCACTCCACTCGTGATGAGAGACCCGGATGTAAATAAACAGACGGCGGATCGCAGCGGCCAACTGCCCAACTCAAACAGCCGCCATCTTCCTTCATGGACGTCACAGCCCTGAATGAAGGCGTGGAAGCCAGGCTGACATCTTTGGACAGAACCACGCCCATCTCCCCAGGTCCTCCCCGTCTGTCAAATTGAATTATAGTAGGTGTGCCTCAAGAGTTCCTGCCTATACGTGAGCACGTCGGCGCTCCATACAGTAAAGGCAACACTGGCGGCCATGTTGGAGTCTGGCACGGTGCCCGGAATGGGACGTGTACAGCTGAACAGTCACAGTCAAGTCAGATTGGTTGTTATAGGTTACAACACAGTACACTGTCTAACTGACAAACCTCAGGGTAAAAGTCAGAAGTGGCCAGAGTGGGGGCAAGGGAAGTAGAACTAATGGCAAAACTTTTCTTTTTTTCATTTTGGATAGTGTAAGGCTTGGTTCACACCTATGCAGTTTGCTTTTTGATCCATTTTATAATGCTACTCGCATTGTGCTTTGCGGTTTTACACATGCATTTTTTTCAGCTTTTTTTTTATTGAAGTGGACCTTTTTTTGTTGCTGGGCAGAATAAAAAACACAAAACGCAACAAAAATGCACGACATGCCTTTCAGCAGCTTCTCCTTTGAATTTTGTTGTAGCAAAAGAATGCTGCTTTTTGCATTTAAAAAAGTCCTGACCCTTTCCAAAAATGCAGCAGCTCAGAAAAGCACAGATGTGACCGTGTCCCATAGGAAACTATGTTAAATGGACTGTAGTTCGTCTTCTACAAAAAGCATTAAAAAACCGCATTGGTGTTAACCAGGCCTAAGAAAGGGTTACAAACCCTGTTTGTTTATTTTTTTCCCCATCTGTGTCCCCACTGGGGAGATTTCCCTTCACTTCCTGTCCCATAACCAAACCAGGAAGTGAGAGAATATCCTTCCAAAGTGAGGCAATCCCTGGTTTTCACCAGAATAATGCAAGATTTAAAAATAGAATAATAGAATTAAAAAAAACAGAAGGAATATAGCCATCTTCCAAAATTAGAATTTCAAATAGAATAGGATAGAATAAAAGAGAATATAGCTGTCAACTTAAATTTGAATTTCAAAAAGAATAGATTAGAATAGAAAGCAACAGCATAAAACAGAATAGAATAGTAAATAAAGGAATAAAATAGGAAAGAAATAGAAAAAAAATAGAATAGAAAATAATAGAATACTAAATACCTGCTTACTAAATTTGAATAGAATAGAATAAGCTATTTTTCACAATGTATTCAGATCTTTTAGATATTCTCGATTCAAATTCGATTCCATTCCATTGAACAAATTTGAATCCAGCCGAAAACTAATAAATGTAACAAAACTAAATAAATAAATTTTTTAACCAATGCAACGAGAAGAAATTAATAACTTAACGAATTGATCCGAAACAAAACAAAAAACATTTTTTGTTCTGCACATGTCTACACACGATGAGAAAATCGGACAAAACAAATACTGCTTTCAAAGCAATCGTATGATGATGTGATTGTTGGTGCACAGCCAGAATGTACGAATTTCATATTATCAGTACAGTATTTGCCTGAGGAAATTAACAAATACATTACAATACAATACATTACTCCTGGATTTGTATTCTGTCGTACAAGAATTTTCGACATTTTTCGTACATGAGACTAGCATGCAAAAAAAAAATCGGATGGTCATTTATCCAATGCTCTCCTTGTGTGTATGAGGCTTTAGCCTCTGTTTGATCCACAATTGCCATGGTGCTGCACGTGTGGTCAGTAATGACACCAGCCGTTTAAAGGCTTGATAGCTTAGTTGAGAGAGCTGTGATAATTATTATTCATGGCATGCCTTGAACGGAACTGTTTTGGGAAACAGTTAAATCATGGGTTTCCTTCCAGGAAACTAAAACGGAACTAAACCCATCAATTTAACGGTTTCATAAAAAACAGTTACATTTCCGGGATGCCAGGGATGCTGTGACATTTGTGTGTGCTCTCAACCAAACTGTCAAACCATCAAATGGCTGGTGTCATAACTGATCAAATGTGCAGCATCATGGCAGTTGCAGATCAAACAGAGGCTAAGATGGCCACTTCCTTTTTTGATAAGGATAAGAGGGTTTAGTTCCCCTTTACCTGTTTCCCAAACCAGTTTGATTCAAGGCATGTTGGGAATGATACCTGTCACAGTTGCTTTTGCTTGCAACCAAACCAGCCACCACATGGCAGGTGTCATAACTGATAACATGTAGAGCGCAATGAGATCAAACAGAAGCTAATGCCATGTACACACAATGAGAATATCGGACGAATGATCAGCCGTTTTTTTTCGTCTGCTAGTCTCACATCGAAAGTGAAAAGGTTACTAAAGATACGAAAATTCTCCTATGAAAGAAAAGAATTTCGAAATTGATGTCATGTATTGCGTTGTATTTGTATTGTATTTTCAGACAACTACTGTACTGATTAAACGAAAATTATGCGATCTGGTATCGTACGAGAAAACGTTTTGCCCTTGCTCCTTCGTATATTGTCGTACAAATTGTCGTGATCGGCTCTCAAAAGTTGTGTACTAACGATCCGATTATCGGACGATCGGTCCTCGTATGAAAATGTTCGTACGATTTTCTTATAGTGTGTACGAAGCATACGATTGCAGCTTCCTTGGCTGTAAAAGATAGGAGGGTTTAGTTACTCTTTAACTGAGTAGTGCAATGAACACAGAAGAAAATACACTTAGAGGAGAAGTATAGTCAAAGCTCATTTGCCTGTACTTCTTTGGATCACAAGAGTGCAGTGTGTTCTGCTCTCCTGTGACCCGTTTTCAGCACGCTGTAAGCTGATGTCACAGAGCCAGTCCAGGCTCTGAAAAGACCCTGACTGTATGGTCAGGATCCACCCAGAAGCCTGGACCTGCACCTGGCTCAGCCTCTCAGCAATCCGCTGAAAGCTTGAGCCAGCCGCTCCCTCTCCCTCTACAGCCCAGCGTGGGGGAGGAAGAAAACGGAAAATTGAATTCAAATACTTACCATAATTTTCCTGATGAGCTCTATGGCAGCACAGCTGGGTGAGGCCCTGCCCACCCCCTGCCTGATCAGGACATAGCTCAATACATTTTTGACCCACCTCAGCCTAGGCATTCCACAACTCGTACTACTAAACTGGGTGGGATTTGTGCTTCCATGGAGCTCGTCAGGAAAGGAAAATTAAAGTAAGTATTTTAATTAATTTTTTACGTTTTCCTGATGGCTCCATGTCAGCACAGCTGGGATTTAACTAGCCACACATGGGAGGGTAATGCAAAACCAATTTAATTTAGACTGGAAGCAGAGGCCAAGACATCCCTGCCAAAATCAGCTTATCTGACTTTCAGAGCTCGGAAGTAGCATCCACATAGTCTCTCAATGTCAGGTTTCTGTCCACAGCAGAAGTTCTAGGAGACCTGGCATGCCTGCCAGTACCCTGCATGGCCGCAGAAGTGCACGTTGGAGAAGATCCATGAGCATTGGCGCACGGACGCTAGCCGGAACACGCATGCACACTGGCGCATAGTTGCGCACACATTGGCTCAGTGTGGCGCCAGATGGCCTTTATAAGGAGGCTCATCATTCCCTCAAGTTGCTGGTTGGT